CTCACCTAATCTTTACCTAATGCAAGAAAATCTACTAAACATTTAATGCAAGATTACTTTCAAAGATTTGCTGCCATTTGTGCGGCTCCATGTGCTGTGCTTTGCTGCTACTTTGCAGCCTTTCATTTGCTGTTCATTTCAGCCTCATTTCATCAACATTTGCAGCTTCGTTTGCTGCACTTTGCTGCTGCTCTTGGTGCAGCTCTCCCTTCATTTCATTTTGCTGCCATTTGTGCAGCTTTCTTTTCATTTGCTGCTCTTGGTGCAGCTCTGCTGCTCTTGGTGCAGCTTTCACACCACAACTCCAACACTCCTCCTTGGTGTTAAAGCTGCAGGAAACAAGAAATTGACCTAAGCATTTGGAATCTGCCATTTGTAGTTCTTTATGCTTTGGTTTTGATTTGTTGTTGCTGCTAAAGCCATCTCCTTTAGCAGATCAGCTCCTCCTTCAATACTGCAGCTTCATCTTGCTTAGATTCGCTACTTTAACAAATTTTTGGAGCTTTGCTGAGCTTTCCCGTAAGTTGCTCAGTTTTCTTCTTTGAATCTGCAGCTTCCTTAGGGTCATAGATAAGATTCAGTGAACATGACTTGATGCATGCTATGAGTTTTCTTCCTTTCTCAGTCTGCACCCTTGACAGACATTCTTTTTCCCTTTGGATTGCTGGCTGTAGAATCCATGAACACCTTCTCTTTGTTGGTCCAGCTTGCCTCTTCACACCATCTCCTCACTATGCTTGATCTTGAGCTATAGTGGGCCTACCATATGCCTTTATCACTTGCTGAGTGATTTGGCTAAAAAAGGAAGAGGGATTTCACAACAAAATGTACTGGAATCCATAGAAAGGTGGTTTTTTTTCCTTCTTTTTTTTTTTTTTTTTTTGTTCTCTCTAAATCACTCTTAGAGGTCCCTCAAGATCATAGAAGCTCTGATACCATGTTAGATTTTTTGGTTGGTAAAAACAGAGGTTTGGGAGATGACTCAGAGGAGGAGGAGAGAGACACCTTGGAGTTACCTCACTTGGTGAGGTCTAACCCATTTTTTTCATTCATCTTCTGCCATTATATAGCAGAAATCACTTAATACATCAACATTACTTTTCTCACCTAATCTTTACCTAATGCAAGAAAATCTACTAAACATTTAATGCAAGATTACTTTCAAAGATTTGCTGCCATTTGTGCGGCTCCATGTGC